TTATTGATGTGAGGATTTGATGTAATAATGAAGATGGGTATATTTAATTAGGTATCCTAGTTCATATTCAGTATAGATGTTAAGTAATGTACCAAGCTGGAAAGAAGGTCTAATATGAATTGCATTGCTTTTTTCATAGCCATATTAAAACTTGTTTCTTGCATTAGCAATTATACTAAGAAACTAAAATATATACATTGTCTTTCTCATCTCATTAAGAGGAAGTCAGACTGGTCAGCAGTACTGTGTCTCACCTGTCCTTCTCCTGACTATCACCAGGACAACAACAGCCACACACACAGCTGCAAACACAGCAACTCCAGACATAATACCTGCTAGGAGAAAAGTATTAAGGTGGAGATACTCAGAGAGTGTGGAACAGGGGAACGAGGCCTGGGTATATTCAGATAATACTCAGATATTTAAAGTGTAACACTGTGGTGTTATGTTGTGTATTTTTACCTGTTATTGTATTCTACATTAACAGTATAACTATTGTATCACACCTTTCTGTTGTTTGTTGCACAGTATGGATTCTGACATTCACTAAAGTAGACATACATCAAAGAGACCTTGTTTCTATCTCTTTTATTTCTGTCTATCAGAAATAACTCACAGTGGTCATCATCACTGTCACACACCACAAACATGATTCCAGGTGGCAGTAATAAAGGATAAAATACTGTACCAATGACATTTGTTGTGGGCTGTTTCACTGTAGTGGAAAAAGGAGAATGTGTCACAGGAATGGCGGTCAGAGGCTGCATTGACGTTAGATTATTGCCTGTCGGTCAAGAACAAACACACACTGATCTCATTAAAGAACAAACAAGCATTACTGTTCAGTGTTGGCCTGGAAATGAATGAAGTATGCTTGTGATTGGAAGGTTGCTGGTTTGAATCCCCAACCAGCAAGGTACCACTGAGGTACCCTGAACAAGGTACTGTCCCCATGCACTGCTCCCCATGCACTAAATAATACCTGCCCATTGCTGTCACAATGTCACATATTGTCATGACACGGCGAGCTCGGACCCGGGAAGCAGGCGAAGGAGATGAAAGGTAGGGTAAAAAGGGATTTAATAGGGAAACGAAGGGGCATAAGGAACAAACAGCATAACAATACGATGACAGAACTAGGGAAACATACTGTCATGCCCCGCTCCGTCCGATCCTGATGTGTGCCACGCCCCCTCATTAACCACATGTGGATTCCCCGTGTTTACCAGCTGTTCCTGATTGTTGTCATTAGTCCATTGTATTTAGTCCGCGTTTCCGTTTGTTTCCCCAGTCCGGTCATTGATATGTTGACGTTGTACTGTTGCATGCCTAGTCTACGATTAAACACCGTGTTCCTGATCCCTGGCTTCCTGCATATTTGTCTGCGCTCCCGGGCGCTTACACGTGCCGTAACACATACTCTGACGTGGACTTAAATACATAGAACAAATGAAGACAATTAGAAACCGCTGGTAAACACAGGGAATTCACATGAGGTTAACGAGGGGGGCGTGGCACACGGAAGGAGCAGACGAGCAGGGCATGACACATATGGGTCAAATGCAGAGGACACATTTTGTTGTCTGCTGTGGTGTGTCAACAGTTAATCAATTTTTAATCTATTTTTCAATTTATTAAGTAGGTTGAAGTGACAGTGATGATATGTTTCCTCATTACTGTTGTCTTTTTAATGCAAAACACCATTTTATCCATCCATCATGCATCATGCATGTGGGCAGTGGTGGCTTAATAGTTAGGGAAGCACACTTGTAATTGAAAAATTGCAGGTTCGAGTCCCTGACCAGCAAGGTACCACTCCCAAGCACCGTTCCCCGGGTGCTGAATTAGCTGCCCCCTGCTATTCATCAATTATGTGACATTTTTATCTATGAAATGTTAACTGAGCAGTTTTTTTTTCATAATTTGGTGTCTTTCAGAGTATTACTATCTGTGTAATATTTCCTACCAGGGAATGTGATGGTGTAGCTCTGTGACACTTTCACTTCCCCCTTATCAGTCAGCTGACATCCCCACTTCCTGTTGTTGTCTGTCCACTGAAGTTCAGTTGTCAGAGTGGAGTTGCAGGAGGACGTGTGTATCTGGTACCTGGGATCACCCTGCAAATCAGTGTCTGTGTCACTCACCCACCTCAGGGTCAGACTGTTAGACTGATGATTATTACACTGCCCAGGATTATGATAGGTGTACAGGAGACACTGTAGGGTCATATTGCTGCCAGGCATCAGATTTGTCACTGGAACAACTGAGAAAGTAAGAAGGGAAATAACAGTTTTATAACAATATAATGCAAACTCAGCTTTAAAGTAAAATGCCTCATATTTAAAATCTTTCCACAAAGAAAAGTTATTTTGAAAGCCAACAGAAATCACAAATACATATTTTTTCCACATTAAATTGTTGGCAAATAAATCACTGTTCACAAGAAAATATAAATCCCAGGAAGGCTGCCTGTATATTTCTACTAAAAACTGAAAATTGAAATTGATAATGCTTACATTTCCACAGTTATTTTGAAAACCAACAGAAATCACAAATACATATTTTTCCACATTAGCAAGTAGATCACTGTTCACAAGAAAATATAAGCTGCCTATAAATTTGTACTAAAAATCATAAATTACATATTATTACAAATGAACGGAATAAAAAAAGCACACACTTTTATCGCAATTTTTTTTATAATCACTTCCAAGCATTTCTCCGTAAGTGAAATCACTTTGCCAAAACTCTTCACGCTGTCTGTATTACCAACATGCAGTTTGACCCAATTTCACCTCCAAAATGCACTAAAACTATCAAAATACTTCATACACGTCTCACAATAAACTCATGCTACCAAACACTGGAAAAATTTTCATTGAGAAGCAGATTTTGTCACACATAACAAACTGACCTAAAAAATAACAAACTAATAACAAGGAGCAGAGAAGGATGCATCATTTTGTCTATGATGTCTGTTTACTTTTACATGCAAATCAATGTTCTTTTAGAGTGAAACTTTTTCAACTCTATGGAATGTACAGTAGTAATGTAACATTACAGGAATGAATCAAAAATGCTGCAGTGTGCTTCATCTTTCTCTAAATATTTTTGCAAATATTATAGTTGTTGCCTTACACCCCTGGGACTAGGGTTCGAGTCCCTACCTCAGCTCTACATGTTTGTAGTTTGCCTGTTCTATCGGTGTTATTGTGGGGATTCCTGTGGGTTTTCCAGTTCCCCCCACAGTCCAAAAACATAGTGAATTAAAATTGCCCTGTCCTGGGTTTTGCCCTGTGTTGCTCCCATATTCCGGGATAGGTTGAGGATGGTCCATGTACACAAGTATAATTTGTTTTCCGATTTTAGACGGGAATGACGGGGGAGTATGGTGGTACCTCTTCTACCACATATTCATTCTTCTCTCACTGCCACTCTTCTTTTTCTAGAAAATTCTCTTACTTGATCTGTGTTTACAAAGAAAATAATTTCAAAGATGTCCTGTTTTTTGGGGAATGATAATGAGATTGAAAATCTGAGTGAATATTCAGCTAAAAGGGGAATCAGTTGTGTTCAGTCTGGTTTGGAAAGCAAAGACTCAACGTTTTCCAAGTTGTGGTCATTGAATGCATTTTGTATCACAGCAATGAACATGGAGGCACATTTTAGTCCACATAAAGCACTGTTGTGCAAACTGTAAAGAGTTTTGAAAAAAACTTCAAGATGGAGAAATGCTCGTTAGTGTTTGTCAAAAACATCAATAAGATTATCTAACAAAAAATGTTCTATCTCTGACAGACAGGTGAACCATGGTATATATCTTAACTATTAAGAAATCATAAATTACTTTTATGAATGTGGAGAAAAAAAAATTATAAACGTTATTTCACCAACATTTTAAGAATGTAAATTCAATTAAATCAAAGAATGAACTGAATACCTGTGAGAATAGAGAGGTAAACTAAGGCATCGTGTTCATGTTGCGTTCCACTGATAAACTGTCTGCAGGTGTACGATCCAGTATCTGCAGTGCTGACATTGTGAATGTGCAGAGAGCAGTCAGGCCCCAATCTTATTTTCTCATTCATGTGGGAATCTTTGATCTTTCCTAATGTAACCAGTTCAATAGTGTCAGTAAATCTGTATGTATTATAAAGCCATGTGGTTGAGGAGCAGTCAGGCTCAATGACATTCTTACACGACAGGGTAACATTATCCGCCGTTCCGGAGTTTACAGCAGTGAGCACTGCACTGACACCTGGGAGGGGAAATAGAAACAAGACACACAGAGGAAACAGTGACTGGTGGCAGTTTGTCATTTTGACAGGTGATGGATTTAAGTTAGTCTTAAAAAGTTTATAAACAGTTTTGCTTTGCTTAGTACTCGAAGTTTATGCGGAACAGGGCAGGTACAAACACTACAAAAAAAGCATAAAACTTGCCCAATGCATGAATCACTTACTTCCTTAATGCTAAAGGCTAGAGTCTAATTTACTACTTAAATTCCCAGAGCAGGGCCTGGAGCTGCGAAAAGCAGCAGTTGTTCATCAATGTAACATTAATAAACATTGATATAGTGTTTTCATTTCTCAACATAGACTCCTGAATGAGCACAAAGCAGATAAAATTTTCATGTGTTATAGCAAATTCTAAACCCAATTCTAAACCTAATTTCCATTATCTTTGTTCTTAATAGTTACTTTATTAATATTGTAATTTGTTGTTAGGGAGCATTTAGCTTAACAATTAACTGAGTTAGTAATTAAGTAATGACACACCCTGGTTGGAGTGCCCAGGTTCTATTTTATCAGCAGACTGTAGCGGTGGTTCATGCTCACAGACACAAACTGTCAGTTTGGTCACTGACATAATTTGATAATATAGGTTTGTGATCAGTGAATTGTTTACAGAGCTGAATTTAAACACACACATGTCCAGGCAATTAACATATTTTCTCATTTCAAACATTTAAAAACACAGACATATTAGGGCCACTTCATATTCATGCTAAAAGATTAGTCTTGCTTCTTTCTGTCTCTTACCCATAGCAGCATATTCGATGGTGAACAGCAGCCTCACAAGAATATATTTCACTACAGTCATTCTCCTTCTGAGTTCCTGTGGACAGCATCTGCATGTGTGGCGTAAGGCTATGTAACACTGAAACTGAGCTGTCATTTCCTCAATGAGGTTATGGGTTTTTCTGTGGGTGGAGACTATGATGATTTTACTAGCTCAAACTTTTAAGTACTTTACCATTTCTGATCCAATAAACAGTTCAAATGGATTAATTAAAGTAACATTAGAAATACATTTACTTGAATACAATATTCCAGCAGAGTGGAGTTTTATTAATGGTCCTTTTACTACAGTTTTGTTACACCCTTGTACATCAGGATCTCAATATTACATGCTTGAATACCCCAAGGAATATCACTGAACATATTTTGCAGAACATCAAGCAGTATAGTAATAGATGTTGGTCAATATCTTTTTTTCAGTACAGTGTCAGCAGTGACAGACATATTTTAAAACCAACAAAACACCCACATTCATGCTTGGAGGATTAGAGACCATGGCAATAACAGGCCACTCCATTGCAGATTTAGTAATGCATTTATATACATTTATTAAAGGGGGTACAAAGCCTCTGACTCATATTTCATGCCTGTATCCATGTATATATATATATATATATATATATACATACATACACTCACCTAGTGTAAAGGATTATTAGGAACACCTGTTCAATTTCTCATTAATGCAATTATCTAATCAACCAATCACATGGCAGTTGCTTCAATGCATTTAGG